TTTGTACTTAGGTTTACATGGAACAGTGACACCATGAGGAAAATGCTGGAAGATGTTTATGGGTAACTTTCCAAAGAGCACGGAAAGAATGCCAGAGTATTCAATGCCCTATGTATAGGCTGCTTCCTCAGACTGTACAACAGACCTCCAAGTATTGTTCACACAGTGATTTAAAGCCTTCCATTCTCTTCTTCTGAAGAATCAGAGACTGATGAATAAATTTTCGTTGCTCGTTAAACATATTCTGCAAACAAAGACAATACAAGGTGTAAGAACAATTCAGGGGAAGAAAAACAGAAAGCTTACAGAATCATGACTCTGTATTGTATTTATGCAAAACATAGAGAATGAAATAACTGTAGTTTTTTTTTTAACCAACACAATGACCACTTTACATGAGTTATCTAATACTACAAAATAACCTTAATAATGATAAGTTTCCATTCACTTAATGGAAAGTGTTCCTACTTAACAGTATTCAAAACATCCCTGTTAGCTCCTGAAGACTTGAAAACCCACCCATCAGAGGCCTCCATAGCTGTCAAACTCTCTGTTTTTTATAGAAATTACCGTGAGATGTCCCCTGTGACCATCTGCCACTCCCCTACATAGGAACCCACTCCATTTTGTCCTTCCCAGTGAGAGTAGAGCCCACAGTGCCATGCTTAACATGGAAGGATTCTGTAAGACACTGTCCTGGACCGATCTAAGAATACATATCTAAAAGTGTTTAGATGTGATATTTTGGAACACTTCCGTGACATAGGCACTTTAAGTATCTTCTCCTTTCACTTCTAGGAATCTGAGGCACAGAGGTAGATTATTTTCCCGAGTTAGCGTTAACTAGCAAGTGACTGAACTGTGACTGCATTCCAGCTGGTGGGATTGCAGAGGCCATGCTCCTGACCACTGGACTGGACAGCATCTCCATCTCCCTCCGTATGTCGTGGATCATGATGGGCTCCCTCTCAGGATACAATCCCATACCTTCTCCTGTACTCTCCAGGCAGTGCCTTCTCATCCCCCCACCATGACTGCTCCTAACCCATCACTGACCTTGCTATGTCTTGGCAGGGAAAGGAACACGCCCGGGGGGTGAGGGGGGGTGTGTGGAGGGAGGAGACGGCCAGTCTCTCCTCATCACACCAACCACCATCCTTGTCTCCCTAAGCTCTTGTCCTGTCCCTTCCCTCCAGACTTGCTGCAGGAAGCCCTACTACTTCTGATGCTGACACAATGGATTCCTTCAAAGCTAAGGCTGATACTCACAGAGAGTTTTTCTGCCTGTTTCTTGACTTGATCTGCATCCATGGATAACTTCCTATTCAAATTCATAATCTGAAGAGAATAGTCTTGATAAAGTTTCTGCCTGTGAATGATAGCAATGAACAGAGTGATATTCCATCACAATGTGAAGAAAGTGCATTCGAAGCACGACTGACTTGCCCTCACTAACACTATCGGTGGAGGATGGGGAAATGGCATCTAAAATATTCTGGCAGAGAAAAGGAAGCCCATGTGGATTATTTCATCTTACACTGACAGTATTTGTTCCTCCCTGGCTGAGAGAGAAGTCACTTCAAATGCCTGAGCTCTAGAAAACTTATGGAGAATTATCATTAGTATTCTATTAATATTCCACAAGTATTCACCTTCCTGACACATACAGCTTCTCCTTTATTTCCTCTTTCTCGAGAACAGATCCAATGAGCATGCACATCCACTACCATCAGAGAATTCTGTGGAGGCCTACCCACTCTTCCTCACATTGTGCCAGTGAGGATTTTGGTACAGTTGCATAGTAAACACTGCTCCTGAAATCTATGCGACATAGAGGCATGTCTATGGAGGCATGAGATTTTCATTTATGTCACATGGAACAGATGATCGACTGACTGCAGGATGAATGCTTTGAGGTTTTCAAGCTCATCATGCCCAGCACATTCATGCGATGCATACACCGTCCTTACTGTTGCACTGATTCAACTGCATGTGTCAGAACGGTCATCGTAATTCATCCCTAGGAAATGCAGCTGACTTCGGTTATGATGTGAGGCTATAATAAGACTAAAGGAAGTCTATTGTATACAGAAAAACCAAGCCAAATACATTTTCCAACCGAGCTTCTGGCCAGTGGGGGGCCCGGCTATTCCTCAACCTCTTGCCATCATGCTTACTAACCAAATGTCAAAGGGTCTCGCGAGGATCAAAGCACCCAGAAGCAACAACCGTACCTTTGTTCGCACTGGATTTTTAGGACATCCTCAACTTTCTGCTCCATGGTTTCAAAAGACGCCATGATGATCGCTGTGAATCTTTCTCTGTTTCCCTGAAGAAAGTTCTTAATGGGCTCTGTATTGAAACACAATCTTCTAACAATTACTGTACAGTTCCCTCAACTTTAGTTTTCTACTTGGAAAGACACTTGTTATCAATAGATGGAAACAATCTGTCAATGATAAGATTATTTGCCTCCTTCCTTTCAGTCAAGAATTTGTGGTAATGACCTTGATGTGGAATTGGACAGCTGGGCTTCAGTGTCTATATATTACATACAAAACACAGTGGACCTTAC